GATTGTATAGGCAGGGTACGGAGGACTATGTACAGAGAGAGTGCAGCCGCAAGGTGGAAGAAATTATTATTGATGAGCGGTGACGGTCTGTGTCCTCAAAGTCAAACAGTCAGAGTCAATCAAACAGAGTCAATCAAACAGAGCCAGTCAAACAGAGTCAGTCAAACAGAGTCAGGCACAGAACAGACCGTCTAGAGAACAGCCACGCGGGTGCAAGATTGCGAGATCAATCCATTTCGGCCCACAGAACCAGAACCGCACAAAAAAAGAATTAACGAGACGACAAGCGTCTCACTTTCTTCAGCTGGTACCTGGTCTGCCGTGCGTGGTTGGACCCGGTTTATCTTCCAATCAGGTTGAATGTGTGGTTCTCTCCATTATTCCGTGTGTGTGTGTGTGAAGAACCGGATTTTCCGTTTACATGGGACGGAGTGGACGGAGCGGACGGAGCGTGGCAGACAGATAGACTATTGACTTCAACTGCCTCTGTGCGTTTACGTTTTCCGGAGAATTCAATTATTGAATTGAATCATGCCCTGTTTTTGGGCTGCAGGGCGATTGCATCCCCATTGCATCCCCATTGCATCCCCATTGCAAATACTCCAACCTTAGTTACTCCGTGTGCCAAAAGCAAAGCAAACCGATCGAGATCGCCCCGTGCATGTCCCAGTCCCAGAAAGGAGTGGGTTCTACGATCGAAGAGATTGCGATCTCCGGCTGTGGTGCTGGGCTTCGAGTGGTTCCGGCGATACCGACAAGATTTATTCCATGCTGTTCGATATTATATTGGAATCTGTGTCATTGTACTCGGTACAGAGTATATCATGGTCAGCACAGAGTATTCCGTAACCGTGGATCGATCAATAAAGATCCCGGAACCAAGAACTGTGAAAAACGGACCGGACAATATCTTTGTTTGCATTTCTTAGCGGTCAAACAGTGTGCTTATTTTCGGTAGCTAGTGGAAGTTACTCTCCTTTCCAGTCTACGGAGTGCAGACTGTACAGAGTAGGGTTCCAGTTCAGTGTGTATACAAGTAGAGCATTCTATTCTGAAGAGAGAGAATAATAAATAACTATACAAGACACCAATTTGTCACTCACGCCTCAGAGATTAGTATCATGGTCCACCGATTAATATAGCAGGAAAACTTTTGGGACTAATACACGCGAACTGCCCGTGGTTTGCATCTTTACTACTTTGGGTAATGCCCCTTTACCTAGTCCCCTCACTACTATTCTCCGTACATTCTCCGTAACTACTCCTCTCCTTCTCTCCTTTCCGTCGCTTTTCTTCTTCTCTTCTTCTCTTCTTCCCCTCTTGCCACACACACACTCTCTCTTTCTTCTGGTATTCTCCTCCCCAGTCGCCTCGGGGTCTCTCTCATCCACGGCGTCCCTCTTCTTCCTCTCCCACTCCGTGCCTCTCGCATCCGGGGAAGAAACGATGCAGTATTAATTCCATCTTCCTTTCTCGCTCCTTATCTTTCTGTAATAATAGATTATCGACTGGTCTTTCATTCTTCGCCTCGCCTTCGTTACATTCTTCCGTCGCTGTTCGACTTTCCACCGCTCTAGCAGTGCCGCCCCCCCTGAAACCACTTCAATATATACGATACCTTAACTAAACCGTCAAAATGGGCCCGTCTCTGAGAGATTCTTCCTTCCCCCGTCCTTCGACTCGCGACCGCCCGTCAACGCGCGATGAGAACTCGCTCGTCCTCCCCAGTCGCACCTCGTCGCTGCATTCCCGCATCACCCAGCCGATTCCCTCGCAGGTCAGCTCCAAGGCCACCCAGCGAACCCCCAAAACCCTGACCCATGCCTACATGGTCTGTGGTGTTGGTCGTGAGCCTTCGCAATGGGTCCGCGCTCCTACCCTAGCCCAGGGGAAGATCGGCCATATGAAGGGCGCCGTCGGCCAATTCTGGTTGCCCGAGATTCTGGGGAGCAGTCCCCGGTTGGAGCAGGATAATGAGATTGCCAGAGCGCTTCATTCGGCTATGAGGGTGAGCCACTTTTTAGACATATCGCATAGAATTGTAGCTAACTGGACAGGCATGCTTCCCTCACGATGTCGAGATTTGCACCGGCAAGAGCCAGCCTCACTGCGTTCACCATGCCTTCGTCCTCCAGCAGGATTCCTCCCATACTCTCTATGGGATCGCCTTGCGAGTCTGGTCTCGCGCTGATGAGAAGCGAGCTGAGACTATTCGGGAACTGCGAAAGAAGACGGAGCCTGATTACTACGACAATCCCGATGAGACCTACTGGATTCCCTACTGCTTGAGTTTCCTCTCCCGGTACCCCCTGTACGACTTGCTGGGTGACTACCTCCGGGGTATGTGGATTCACTGGAACAAGGCTACGAACCTATTCCACGCCGAGGAAGTCTCGCGCATCCTGAGCTTCCCCGCCCCACGGCTCAACGACCTTGTCCGTATCGATATGAAGGATTACGCCCTTTGCTACCAGTTCCCTTCGTCGCCTACCGGCTTCCAGAACTTTTCCATGTGGCCGCTCTTCACCTGCTTGTCCATCCCTAACATCGTTGGTGTTGTCGAGGCCGCTGTGTCGCCTACTCGTCGTATCATTTTCGTCAGTCACTATCCCGCCATTCTTACCGTCGCCGCTGAGACGATTCGGTACTGCGTGCGGGTCTACGAATGGAGCGGTTTGTACGTCCCCATCGTCCACGCCCGTCACGTCAAGGACCTCGTTCAGGAGCCCGGTCCGTACATCCTCGGTGTCACCGCCGAGTGCCGTACCCTGTTCAACGCTCCGTCGGATGCGCTCGTGGTGGACCTGGACCGCAACTTTGTTCTCACCTCCAGCCCGCCCAGCATCCTGAACCCCGGTCAGCGCACCAAGTTCATCAACCGTCTGACCCAGGCTCTCAATGGCGACGTCGCCCCGACCGGTGTGCCCAACCACCTCCGGTCGGCCTATGCTGGCGGCAAGCTCATCCCCGCTGGCCAGATCATTGTCATGCGTGGTGAAGTCGAGAGCGTGCAGGATCCCCCATGGTGGAACCAGGACTCCATCATGGGTGTCATGGACCGCGTCTGCGAGAAGCTGGGCCGCAACACCGGTATGAAGGCCATCTTCGGTGGCTCCGTCAAGAAGCCGCTCACGACCAAGGTCTCCATGCGCCACCTCAACGAGATTGTCCGTGAGCGCAACCAGTACTCTCGCGATGCCATGGAGGCTTGGCAAGACTTTATCAACCTCAAGGGACGAATGGACACCGAGATTGGCAAGGTCACCAAGCGCAACAACTTCCTGGTCGAGGAGCTCGAGACCTGGAAGCAGCAGTTCCTCAAGTTCCAGGCCTTTGCTGAGCAGCTCACCAAGGAGACCTCCGAGCTCAAGGTCAAGATCGAGACCCACAAGCGCGAGAACCGCCGTCTGTCCGGTCTCATTGACCAGCAGAAGGACGACCTGGCTCGTCTCACTGTCCGCCTGTCTGGCACGGAGAAGCAGCGCGACGACGCCCTAGAGGCTCTCGTTCTCCAGCAGGAGATTGCCGAAGAACTGGAGCGCGAGCGCAAGCGCAACCAGAAGGAAATGTCGGCCCTGCACCAGACCAACTCGACGCTCAGCCGACAGCGCGACGAGGCCCAGCGTGTGGTCGTGCACCTCCGCACTCTCATCCACGGCCAGTCGCACCACATGGAACACATCATCCGTTCCGTTGGTTCGCCCGAGCTTTCCGACGCCGTCCAGAAGCAGGACGAGCGGAAGCCGCAACACGCTGAACCCGCCCCCAAGCGCCAGTCTTCTGTGTATTCTAGGAAGGCTTCCTTCAGGAGAGACCCTCGCCCCGAGAGGATCTCCGCCCGGGAAGTCAAGGAGATTAACCCTGACTTGGAGCAGCACTTGTTGAACATGAGCGCCGGGCAAGATCGTCTCTCCCGCCTCAACATCACCGACGTGGCCGACCGCTACCTCCGCGACAAGACGGACGCCATTTCCGACATCATCCGCGGCATCAGCGAGCAGTGCGCTGCCGCCGTCGAGGGCCTGCACATGGCCCAGGACGCCGTGGCCGACGACGAGCCAGGCAGGCTTGCCCCGGCCCCGGAATTCGACCACTCCGACGGCCGCTCCACCCGCGATGGTAGCGAGATCGATCCCAGCGAGAACAACTCGCTGCACCCTGACGGCCGGGGGTCTTCCGTTCCCCCCACGCCAGACCTCGTGCACAACCGCTCCAGCACTTCGATGTCGATGATCAGCAACTCGACATACCCGGAGCAGCGGTCAAGCCAGCAATATGGACCCGGCGAGATCCCGACTCGGATAGTCGAGGATGACGACGAGCGCGCGCATGAGTCCGAGGGTCTGGACGACCAGACCGAGACTGGTCAACTATCCAAGCAGGCCAGCGAGGATCTCATGCGTTCCGGTGTCTCTCGTCTTGCTGCTTAGATTTGTGCTGCTTCTGTTTTAGTTTGCCCCATCAAATTCGATGATGCAATGTCCTGCGTCTGCTTTTTTTCTGCCTTCGACGACCCCTTTCTTTCTATACCTGCTCCGCACAGTACTAGATTCGAGCGTGTGTGGTCCCGTTTAATTTGCTGTTTTAATTTTGTTACAGTATATCCCCTGTCGTCTTTTTCTGCTTCTTTGGAGGTGTTTATTTCCTTTTCTTCTGGGTGTGGGTTTCTTTCCTTTTCTCTGATCTTTTTTTTTTTTACTTGATAACCCCTTTCTGTTGATTGCTTCTGTGAAAGAAGCTTGGGCATCGCAATGGGCCGACACTCTCCTTTGCGTCTGAGTCTACTAGACTGTCATCTCCTTATCTATATTTCCTTGTGTCTGTCTGTCTGTCTGTCTATAGTTCAGTGGGTTTTGTCTGGCTGCTTTGAAAGTGGCCACGGACCTGGGTTGTTATTTAGTTGAGAAGTTCGCTTCTGATGTCGGAGGCGAGCAATTGATGTGTTCGTATTATATACGTGACTGTAGACTTGACTATATACTGTGTAGGGCTGGGCTAGGCTAGGCCAACTTCCCCGGCACAAATGGATGACCGGCACTTAAACCCCCGCAAACAGTCCACGCCTGGCCGTTCACGTAGCTGCTCTCTTCACTTCCTAAGAACAATGCCACACGCGCAACTTCATCTGCTACAGCACCCCGCTGCAACGGGTTCAATTGTCCGACCTTTCTCTCCGTGCCGCGTTCCCTCGCCCGGTCGAATACAGACGCCGTCATGCCTGTCTCGATGAGTCCAGGGCAGATAGCGTTCACGCGGATACCAGTGCCGGTGAGTTGGTACGCGGTTGTCTGCGCGATGGAGATCACAGCAGCCTTGGAAGCGGAGTAATCTGTCGAGCCCGCGTTGGAGCGAAGACCAGCGACAGACGCAGTGCAGATAATCGACCCGGAGGGATAGGGCTTATCCTTGCTTGTGAGCTTCATAGCTGCTGCGGCGTGCTTGACGGCCAGAAACACACTACCCAGTCAGCATCTGCATAACCATAAATATGAATGAAGACAAACCCCAAAGTATTGGTCCTCAACGTATCCATAAACCCCTCCCCATCAATATCCGTAAACGCAACCGGCTGCCCAACAACCCCCGCATTCGCAAAAAACACATCCAACCGTCCATACTTCCGCACCGCATCATCAACGACCGCTTGAACGGCGGCTTCATCGCCCGCGTCGAAGTCCCGGATGTGCACGTCGACACCGGGGTATAGGGTTGAGATCTCGCGCGCGTGTGTTGATAGGTGCGTTGTGGAGTAGTCGCAGAGGTAGACTGCTCGCGCGGAATTGTGGGCGTATTGGTGGGCTGTTGCGCGGCCGATGCCGGCTGGGGAGTTTGCTCCTGTGCCTTGTTAGTACTCTGTATATACAACGTAGCTTGTATGGCGGTGTGGATGGGGCATACCGGTGACAATAGCAACCTTGTCCTTCATCCGTCTATATATCGTTAGACTTTATCAATGCAGAGAGGTGTATAAAAGCGTACGGCCCAACAGAATCAGGTGCTACCTGGCGAATCCTAGGGATATCCTCGAATGTGCCTGCATCGGGGATTCCCTCGGTGAGTTGTTGGCTGAGGGCTTGGAGACGTTGTTTGGCGGACATTCTGAACAATAGGACTGAGATTGCGCTTTTATTATATGTAGTGTTATGTCCAGGATGTTCAATTAGAAAGATGAGGAGGATATTAGATACCGGGGTAATATATGCTACCCGCATACTGCTGATATCCGATGCCAGCGCAGAGAACCGAGGCACAAGTCACGTGTTACTAAACAATGACTGATGAAAGTCAAGGTGTATTAATAGTCGGCCTGATTACCGAGGCCGACAGATTCCTCATACATATTTATGCGGACACCGTAGCCATACGCTTTAGATAGCCAAGCACTCATTCTATCGTCTATGGTGTCTATAGATGTCAATGTCATCCTCTTTAATGTAATTTAAATTCCTCGCCTATAGCCTCGTGCAGTCCGGATAATCGACTCCCCGACTAACTAGTTAACTAACTAACGTAATCGGTAAACGAGCCGCGCATGTAAACGAGCCGCGCATCCAACCCAAAACGCGTCCATGAATTAGCACTTAATTAATTCAACTACCCACAATGCCACCAATTCGTACCCGAAGCTCTAGAAATTCAGCAGAGCAAGAGGGTAGGATCTTACTAGCTATCCAGGCTATTAAGAACCAAGAAATATCTTCTGTTCATGAAGCAGCGCGCATTTTTAGTGTGCCTGAAACCACACTTTGCGGCCGTCATCACGGCATTATAAGCCGCGCGATTTCTTGCACTAATTTGCAGAAGTTAACAGAAATTGAAGAAGAATCACTTCAAAAATGGATTATCTCTTTAGATGATCGCAGAGCAGCCCCTCAGCACTCTACTGTACAAGAAACTGCAAACCTTCTTCTTGCAGCGTGTGGAACTACCCCAGTTCAAACTGTTGGGGAAAAATGGGTTTATAATTATGTGAAAAGGCATCCAAACCTATCATCCCGATTCTCGAGACATTATAATTACGAACGTGCAAAATGCGAAGACCCAAAAATCATCAGGGAGTGGTTTACTCTTGTTCAAAAAACAATCATTCAATACAGCATTGATCCCGACGATGTTTATAACTTTGATGAAACCGGTTTCGCGATGGGATTAACAGCAACCGCGAAGGTTATCACAAGAGCTGAATACTATGGTCAGTGATCGCTTTTACAACCCGGAAATCGTGAGTGGGTGACCACAATTGAATGTACTAGTGCATCAGGGTGGGCGCTTCCTCCATGCATTATTTTCAAGGGTAAGGTTTTGATTGAGGGTTGGTTCGATAACCTTCTGAATGATTGGCGATTTGAAGTGAGCCTGAACGGTTGGACGTCTAATGAGATTGGGCTTCGTTGGCTTGAAAAGCTCTTTATTCCATTGACTTCTTTATGTACAAAGGGAGGGTATCAACTTTTGATACTTGACGGCCACAGAAGTCATTTAACCTCAAAATTTGATGAAATCTGTGAAAAAAACAAGATTATTCCAATCTGTATGCCTCCACACTCATCGCATCTTTTACAGCCACTTGATATCGGCTGTTTTGCAGTGTTAAAGCGTTCATACAGTCAGATGGTTGAAACAAAGATGCGCCTCAGGATAAATCATATTGACAAATTAGACTTCCTTGAAGCCTATCCTTCCGCACGAACTGAGGCCTTTAAATCTGATACTATTAAAAATAGCTTCAGAGCCGCCAGTTTAATACCTTTTTCACCTGATCAAGTAATCTCAAAGCTTGATATTCGCCTTCAAACCCCCACCCCCCCTCCAAGCCGGGGTAGCGAATCAAGCCAGAATTTTACACCAAAAACCCCCTTTACCAAGAAACAACTACATCGACAGGCTTCATCAATTAAAGCTTTACTTCGTACAGGATCTCAGAGTCCACCGAGTCCATCAGATCGCGTGTTAAACCAACTTATCAAAGGCTGCCGGCTTACAATGCATAACGCCATTTTCCTCGCGAAGGAAAATAAGGAATTACGCAGTGAAAATGAGAAGAAGAAGCAAAAATGCACTCGATCTAAAAGGCATATACCTGCCGAAGAAGGCCTCTCAGTTTTAGAAGCCTCTGCATTAATTATGCAGCCAGAGGAAGCAATTGAAGCACCTTCCCCCTCTCAGTTAGTAAGGCCTTCGCTACCTTTACAGCCACGTACGCGGCCCCCGCGTGGATGTGGAATATGTAGGGTCCCAGGACATAGAAGAGAGACATGTCCAGATAGACCAATCAGTTAGTTTAATTAATTTAATGGCGTTTTGGTTGAGATAAATGCATTTGAAATTGGAAGGTTAGGTTAGGTGCGCGGCTCGTTTACATGCGCGGCTCGTTTACCGATTACGTTAGTTAACGTAATCTATCACCGAGCTGGCCAAATCACCGAGCTGGCCAGCTAAAATATCCATACAAAATGCCATATTTCAAACCATCATATCTCAACAT